ATAGATAGATAGATAGATAGATAGATAGATAGATAGATAGATAGATAGATAGATAGATAGATATTTAAATAAATAAAAGAAATACTGTTGCTCTGTTTCTCCCCTGACAGAAACAGGGGATTGCCATCCTAGACATCCTAGAATATAAACTGGAAACCTTTCCGGGATGTTTTCTGCTGTTTCCAGTGAGAATCTAGCTAGGCAGAGAGTTACTTGAAGGCCTGACTGTGCACAATGCCCAAGATAGCTCGCCCAGCCATAGGGCGTCAACAGGGAGCTCGGCCATATATGAGATCATTGACTGGGCTTCCACAGCACAATGGCTGAGACCTGAGGGATATCGTCGCAAGAGTAGCGTGAGATTGACCCAAGCATCTCTCCACATACTTCCACACCTCTTCTGACGTTGCCCATGTGCTCGTTACGTCTCTCGCTGATGCAACAAAACACCCAAGAGAAGCAGTATATGGGTTTTTTTTCGGATCACAGCTGGAGAGGTACAGTCCATCCCAGGGAGAGAGTCACAGGCGGCAGCAGGGACTAAGTCAGCTCGGCTTACTGCATCCACAATCAGGAAGCAGAGAGAGGAATGCCAGTTCTCAGCTTGTTTTTCTCTTTCTATGCAGCCAGGGACCCAGATACGGAATGGTGCTGTCCACATTCAGGGTGCATCTTCCCTCTTCAGTTAAATGTTCCTGGTACCACCCTTATAGATGTACTCTGAGGTATGTTTCCATGGTGATTCCAAATCCAGTCAAGCTGACAGTGAAGACGAGCCATCAAACCCTAGAAATCTTAAAGCATCGCTAAGGCTGCTTCAATTGGTGGGGTAAGTCACTAAAGTCGGCCCTGATTTGGAGTGGGGCTGATATCACGGTCTACATCCTGATTGGCAGATGGAAATCCATACAGGAGGATCCTGTGGGATGGGACAGGCTGTCGGGGCTACCTTTGAAAAATACAATGCTCGCCTAGCATTTGCCGAAGAACGTTCTTGGGCCACTAGTGTGTTCCTCATAGGGGACACGTGCTTGGTGTTTATCCCAGAGATCCTCAGGATGGTGTATGTGACTGTTTTACAGATACCCACCCTGGGGTGTTTCAGCATCAGTTCACACCATCTGGCCATGCCTTAAAGTTCAAGCTCTGAGTTTGCGTCTTGCTTCCAATTCAGAGGTGCTGCTGGGCACACTTGGTGCATTGCCTTACCCTCTGAGCCTCAGTTTCCCTTTCTATTCCATTAGTTTTGCCTTCTTTGGAACTCCTGCAATTGTTATGAAGGTCTAAGGACACACCGGAAGTGAAGGTGTTTTGTAAACTGTAGAGACCAGGGCTGTTGACGGACTGGTAGCTCCATGCTTGGAGGCCCTCCCTCTCTGTACCCAGCTAAGGCAGGAGAAACTGGCTCGAGCTAATCAGATGTCACCTTTAAGACACTTGCTAGGATCCAGTGCTTAAGGGTGTCCCCGGGGATGCTTTTTGGTTGCTATGGATACTGAGAGGGTGCATAGGGAGTGGATGAGATGCTGGGGATGCTGGCGTAGGTAGGTGTTCCATGAAGGCCGGTCGGTGGATGAATGAGGCAACAGTGAATAAATGAGAGGATTGAAGAAGGTTCAGCCAGGCATTTTGTTCAGAACACCTTACAGCCCTTTGAAAGCTCAACCGTACCTCTTAATACTCTTGACTTTAGAGAAAAACAGACAGTACAGGTAAAATAACAGGCGGATAAAATATGGGTTTATCTCTTCCTCAGACTCCTGGGATCATAAAAGTTTCTACCTTGTTTCTGGGTTACCTAATGACGCTTCTGTTAGGGCCTCTGCCCGTCCCCCAGGCTGACTGACCCTCTCCACTCTCTCTGAGCACACTGCAGTCAGGACTCACGTACCAGACACCGGCTGGCACCGAGGACACAGCCTGGTCATTTCCCCAGTGCGTCACTTTTCTGTGGCCCCCTGTGGCCGCCCTCACTTCTTCCTCCCCAGCATCTACCCGCCTCGAATCGTGCCAGCTCAGAGGACGCCGGCCGGCCAGGAAAGATTAGATGAATAAACAAATGTCCTCATGTTCCGAGTGAACGACTTTGGAAAACACTCCGGGCTTGTTCTGGTTCAGTGAAAAGTGAGCGCTTGGCTTCCGCCAGGGTGCATTCCACTCTAGGTTCCAGGGTTGCCTCTGTCCAGGACTCTGCAGAAAAACGTGGATTTCTCCGTGAGTCGGGACTGCTCACAGGTTCTGAGAGCTGCAATGGGTGCGTCATTAGGGCCAGAGAGGCAACTGAAGCCTTCACCTCCCCTGCATCCCCAGAACCCTGACACTGAGACAAGTGTCCCTGAGGCTACAGTAGAGGAGGCAGCAGGCACATCCCTCACTTATCTCCTGCTCTAGGGCTGGCCCTGATCTCTACCCCTTAGTCACAGAGGGGGCTGGCCTCAGACAATGCATAGTGTGCCGGACTCAGGCACCCCTGGGCTGGTCACAAGTGTAGCATTGAGCTGCTGTGGCGTCAAGGAAGGAACTCTGAGGCCTCTTTGTTCCAGGGTTCACATGGGGTGGTTGCTTGGCTTTCCACACAAGTATGCAAAGACTCCATGACCCTGGAGGTGGAAAATACCTGCCTGGCCCAATCAGAGCAAGGATTAAGTGCAAGGCCAAGGAAGGTGACCAAGGGAACAGAGCTGTGCCTGTCCTCTGATGTGCACCTGCAGGCAGTCACTGGGTGTCGTTCCCAGCCAGCAACCCCACCACAATGCAAACTTTGAAGGGTTCTATTATTAGGCAGGGAATGGGGAAAAGTTGAGGCTTAAGGACTGCCAAGTGCTTAGGTAGGGTTGGTGAACCGGAGAACGGGAAAACACTGGTCCCATGGGATCACAGATGACATGCCCATGAAGGAGCAGAGGTTACAGAAAGCTCCTGCTTGTTTTGGAAAGCCAGGAGCTGGTGTGTTACGTGGGAACTCTGCAGGGGGTGGCCAGGTATGGAAAGAATGCAGGCCTTGGATCCTTTCATTTCTCGGCTTAAATCCGGGCTCTGTGTGCTGCGGCTGTGTAATCTTGTGTAATCTTGGGCAAGCTGTCTGACTGCTCTGTGCCTCTGCAGAAGACGTTATACCCATTACAAGTTTGTGAGAGCAGCCAGCACAGCCAGCGCCAGAGTCAGGCCCCCGCGTATCTCTCGACTGGAGTTGTCACTACTATTTCAGGGCCTTCAAACAGGGTCCCTCTGATCTTCCATGCTACCAGACCAGACGTCACCCAGGCTGGGCTCCAAGCTGCCTCTGTGAAAGATCAGAAGGAAAAGAGACAGGACTAGAAACAGGTGTCTCGAAAGCACGCCATGTGTATGCAGGACCAAGCCGTCTTGTCTCACCGCACTGTCTGGGCATCGTGAGGGACACACCAGTTTCCCTGGTCCCTGCCCACCAGATCTCAGAAGCTCTACCCTTCCTAGATGTGCAGACGGCAGATTTCCCCTGGAGTGGGTAAGGAGAAAGCAGGGCCTGCTGTTTGACTTGTGCGTGCTGGACTCTGCAGGCAGCAACCCAGTTCCCTGAGTCTTCCCCTTTACATAGGAAGCATCATGTTCTGAAAGCGCTCATTCAATCCCCCTTCCATGCCCAACCCTAGCGGGTTCTGAGGTCCAAGTTGGAGTGCTACTCCCTCCAGGAAACCGACTGACTTCCCCAGACTTGGAAACGGGCTGGATTCTGCTTGGTCTCCCAACAGCCTCTCCTGATTTGGGGCTCAGTTAGAGATGGTGGGGCCATTTGAGGTGGTTTGGTTGTCACATGAAGGACAGCTAACCAAGGATTTCTTTGATGCCAGGGGCAGGCAGCTCTGTGCAAGGTTAGCAGCTGAGGCAGGGGCAAGAACTGTAGGAAAGACATGACAACCTCATGAGCAGCTGCTGATTGGCTGCCTTGCCATTCACACCTATAAAATGGGAATCATCACCACATCTCCAGAGGACTCTCGTGGGTTTGGGTTCAGTAAATGGTGTCTGTGGCCGTGATGACTACTGTCAGCACTAAGGAAGCAAGAGGTGACCAGGCTGTGTCAGGTGGGGTTGATGTGAGCAGTCTGCAAGCAAGCAGCTGGGCACCCTAGTCTGCTACAGGGCCCAGAGCAGCCTTCCCTCCTTGGGAGGCTAGGAGAGCAGCCACATTAGTGAGCTAGCCCATGTGGGGTCAACAGTGCCCCCTACTGGATAGTTTACAGAGTGCAGGGGCAGGGGTCTGGTCCCTTGGACTTCAGAGTTGTCTGAGCCTGTCTGGCACCTCAGCTGGTTTGACACAACCTTCCAGTCAAAGAACAGATCATGAAGACTCTCTCAGCGCTAACTCCTTGCCCACCTTCCCACACCCTGCCAATGCTTGCCTTTCTTGGTCCAGCCAGGTCCATTTTTGCATTTCTCAGATTTAAATCAAGCCTCTTCCCCTGGGGAAGCAGAAGCAGTGAGCTAGAGGTGACTGGACAGCAACCACCTGCCATTTTGCCTCTGAGGAGGAGGGGCCTGTGCCTGTGAGCATGCTCAGTCAGCTGAGCAGGCTGTCCTTCCTCAGCAAGAGGGGAGAAGGCTCCCTTCTCCATGTAGTCGGCACTTTCTCTCCCCCAAGTACTTACTGAGCTTGCCATGGGCAGTTGTGGGCATGCACACTGGACATTGAA